CATTCTCACTCCCGTGGCACACGCCGCCACTGAACACCAGTCAGGTGCCTCCTACCTCAGTGGTGAAGAGCAGAGTGTTTTCAGGTTTTCACAGCCGTTGGGAAATGTGGGCTGCATCTCTCTCTCTGAGTTCTTATATGAACCACTGCCTTCCTCAACCACATCTGGAATTTCCAAAGTCACTGCTGAATATCTGTAAGAAACTCACTCCTAAACGTTTGCTGACAGTTCTTCCCTTTGCAAGAGAAGCTCCCAGCACTGTGGCCCAGCCACTCCCATCTATGTCAGTCCCTCCCTCAGAAGCCGTCCTGGTCAGGGCCACTGTCACGTCTCACTGGGTGTGCTGAATGGGCTGCCCAGGGCACCAAAAGCCCATTTTTGAGACACAAAGAACCCACCACTTTGTTAGCATTTGCAGACCCTAATAGGCCCCATCTGTCTCGTATTTCTAATTAAGCATCAAAAACACCCTCTTCGGCCTGGCTGTTGAAGTGAAGGAGAGGGGCATACCCCGAACAACACTGGGTGGGGAAGGAAGTGAGCAGTTTGAGTTTGCCAAGTACTTTACAGACAGTAATGCAATAAAGAAATCAGAAACTACCCATACGTGTGTGTGTGTGTGCATGCCCTGCTTTATACAGAGAGAAGCAGATTTGGGATTAGAACAGGTGACAACTCAGTTAAATTACCCTTAGCTGGGTTCATTAGAACGGCTCGGGAAGGAGGCTGCTTCCCATCTTCTTCCTGGAGCTCTTTCTCTGGTTGACGTCTTCCCATGTCCCTCCTTTCTGGCTCCTGTTTCTTTCTGAGAGCCCTAATTCTTTCTCAAAAACTTCAACCTCAGCCCTGGCTGTTCCCTGCCCACCTCACTTTCCACCTTAGCCTGCCTTTCCCCAGGGCTCGTTTCTTTCCTCGGGCTTGATTCTTTCATCCACCACCCCCTGGCTAGCTCTCCCCCTCTTCTTTCTGTGCTCTCTCTCCCCCGTCTCTCAGCGATGCCTTAGTTTGCCCTCCTCTTCCTGTGGTTTCTAGGACTACCCCGCCGGCTTTAAGTTCCACAGACAGCAGAATCTACGAGAGAAATGGTCCCTGCTCAAGAACCTTCTACTCACAGAGCTCTGTGCCCTTTTGGGGAGACTGCCTGAGGACGGTAAAGCAAATCCCCCATTGTTCAGGACAATTAGCTGCCATGGACGAGAGCCATTGAACCGCTGCCCATGTGTGGGAAGCTCCTGGCTACAAAAGCCCCATTCATGATAATACATTTTACAGACACCCCTAGGGCTATGAGAACCTCTACCCAGACATCCCACTCCACAGGAGACAGAGTCCCTGTCAGCTCGAAAGAAACAGATTTCATTCCCTCAGATGAACCATAAATTGGGAGTATCTCTTATGCAAATGAGCTTTCTGAAGCCTCTCTAGAACAGACCTCCTTCTTCCATGAGGGCCAGAAGGGGTAACCTTAGGAAAAGTATGTTCCAGCTTCCTCCTGTGCCTAATTACTGAGCTTTTTTCTTTCTAATCATCTTTATTTTAACGTAAGAGTATGGTAAATGTCAGAATGTCATGAGATGAATGAATGATCAAATTTATTTTTGCAGGGATAAAAAATGGGACCTGAAATACTTATTTCAGTCAGGTGTTCTGAAAATGATTAAATAAGAGCCAGAAGAGGAGGATCTAATGTAAAATACAGCTCAAGAGGCCTAGTGCCACAGATTCAACCTGCTTATTACACTGTATGGTATGAATAATTTATCACGTATTACCCTGCATTAAGTACTGTTGAGGATTCATCTGCGGTGTATCTGCAGACCACATTAACCTCTACCTGCCTCAATCTGTGTTTCCTTGCGGAAAATCTCTGCTGCTCTAGTACACACATTAGCAAGGGCTGGACAGCAGTAACTAGCCTAATTAACTAGCCCTCTCTGGGGAATCTGGGAATATAAAGTACCCATGTCACCTGCTTCTGGGGCGTTTTTCTCCTCCTAACTTTCAAGTCCTCCCACTCTTGGGCTGTCCCCCTCCTACTGCCATGTCCTTTCCATTTCACTTATTATGGACCCTTTCATTCCTATGACATACACACTAGTCCAGGCCCTTGCTTCTCGTGCTGGACTCGGAGCCAAAGCCTCCCTACCGACCTCCCTGGCCAGCCCCACCCTCCAGGCTATCCTACATCTGACCAATGTTCCTAAAAACCGATTTTCACCCCAGCTTTTCTGGGCTTAGAAGCCTTCAGTGGAGAGTCCTGCTCAAGGACACAGACCTGCCTCCTTCACCCAGCACCCAAGGCCTTCTTGGGCCTGGCACCACCATCTTTCCAACCTCATCTCCTTCTTCTCCTTTCCAGACACCCACCTTTTTGACAGACCAACCCTTACATCTCTCAGAGCAGCCAGACTCTCTCCCACCTCCATCTTTGCCCTGCCCTCCTCCCCAGAGGAGATGCACCCCCTGCATCCAGCCCACCTGAAATCTCTGCTGGGCCACAAGCTCATCCCTCACGGCTCCAGATCACTCTAGGCTTCTGCTTTCAGCCGGCCCTCATGCAGGTACCTCATCGAGCACCCTTGGAATGGGGACTCTAGGCTTTCTGCCTGGAGAGACTTGGAAACTGCAATCTGCTTGGAAGCAAGAACTGAGGCCTTGTCTCCAAGGCGTGGTGGGCATTCAGCTGTTTCTTTACAGATCAATTAACATAGCAACTTTTCTAAAGGGGCTTGAATTAACACTTTGCAGAAGTTGATTTACATCAACGGCCCATGTCAAAACATGTTATTTTTATTTAGTGTTTTTTGGGGGACCGACTGATAAAGAGAAGAAGAGCAAAATATACCTCTCCAAGCCACACTCCTTGACACTGTACTGCCCTTGAGCTATTAAAGGAAGTGTAAGAGGCAAATCCACAAACAAATCTTTTGTATAGAAAAACACAATTTACAAATGTACCTAGTAGGTGTCAGAATTACTCACAAAATTGTATGACCCCAACTTTTGGAACCATTTATTTGCCTCATTTTCTGCCATCTTATTTCGTTTTCCAGATGTCTTAGAAGGTGTTTCCTGCTCGTTCCCAATGCAGGAACCCTCTGGGACAGGAAGGCAAGCTCACAAGGAACGTACAACCTGTCTGCTCCTTCCATGTCCCCTGATGAGCCTGCTCCAGGGCCTCTAGGGCCTCCACCTCTGTATTCTCCCTACTCAGCTGACTTTACAGGGCCACCCTCCTGTTTGCTTCTTTTACTCCCACTGGTGACAATCGCAGACTTATACTTAAGGATCTCAACAGCATTTTTCCTTTCTTCATTTTCCAGCTGGGTCTCTTATCTCAAATCCCTTACAGAAGGAGATAAGCAGTGAACAACCGGGAGAATGAAGTCCCTTACACATCCTTGCCTGTGTAATAATATCAGTAAGGCCCATTATTAGCCCTTCATGAACCTTGTGTCACATCAGCCCTGAGGTTCAGTGGGTAATGTGACCCACCCAGGTTATGCAGCTGTTGGTGTACCACACTTTCTCCAGGACTTTTAGGTCACCTTGGAGGACCCTGTGTTTCTGACTGAGCCAGGCTCAAAGCTGAAGTTTACATACTCCCACTGTAAGTGACTTTCACCAGTACTGACCTACATACCTGCCTGAAGGACAGAACAGGGACAGGTTTGTGAGCCCAAACAGGATGGGTGGCGGCTTTCCAGTAGTTCCTCTCCATGGTGAGTAGCTCACCTTCTATGCAGGGAATGCATTGGAGAACTGCTTTGCAGTCCTCCCCTCGCACGGAGGCCTCATCACCTTCCTAGTCACACGGGTTACTGCCCCATTCACTTCCTGCCCAGACTCATTGCCAGCTGCAGCCTCAGCCCACAGGCCCAGCAGGCACCTGGGAAACAGCTGCAGGTGACCCAGATAGTTTGTGTCAAGGCCAGCCCAGCCCAGCCTGCAAGGAGCAATTCATGGAACCCAAAGCTCTCACCAGGAGAAACAGTCCCAGGAGCTCTCACCAGCTGGTCAGGGAGGTAGAGGCATGCGGTCAGCTGCCCTAGGGCCACCCTTTGGGTCTAGGAGACAGTCAGTCCCAGGACTGCAGCAACCAGACAGACCCAGAGACGTGCCATCTCCAGGGTGGTGAATCAATCTGCACTTGGATGGGGCCACCAGTTCACATGTGGCACCCTGGCCTCACTGCTCAGCAACCTAATTCAGCATCTGAACAATCAGAATCATACATAGACTAAGAAGAATTATTCAGCATCAAGGAAGCAAATTGGAGTAATCCAGAAATCTTCATGAATTCTCTGCACTGGAAGAAAGGATTAAAATCTAAGCAAGGTAGAGGACTGCAATAGGAAAAAACCCTCAAGTGTGGCAAGAGAAACTATAATTAAAATAGCAAATTGCAATTTTGAGGTGAGGAGAGGTTAGATGAGTGTAAAGACCAAGGGACATCCACTGAAGCAACTGACAGAAATGATTCCCAGGGATGTTTTGGGGAGAAAAATCCATCTGGAAACAGAGAAAAGGAAATGAAACAAGAATTTGCTGCATTATTTAAAGCTTTCCATGGTGGGGGTAGGGTAGGGGACATTCAGGAGAGAGGAGGTTAAGAGAGAAGAGAATGGAATTGCTCTACCAAAGGGGATTAAAAGAATCACAAGGGCTTTTTAAAATGACTCAAGCAAAAAAAAAAAAAAAAAAAAAAAAAAGGATGCAAATAATTCTAGGCTGTGAAATTAATGGCAGCCAAGATTCTTAGTTCATTCTTTTTTTTTTTTTGGCTGCGTTGGGTCATTTTTTTGCTGAGCACAGGCTTTCTCTAGTTGCGGAGAGCGGGAGCCACTCTTCATTGCAGTGCAAGGGCCCCTCATTGCAGTGGCTTCTCTTGTTGCAGAGCACGGGCTCTAGGCTGCATGGGCTTCAGTAGTTGTGGCTCGCGGGCTCTAGAGCGCAGGCTCAGTAGATATGGTGCACAGGCTTAGGTGCTCTGCGGCATGTGGGATCTTCCCAGACCAGGGATGGAACCCGTGTCCCCTGCATTGGCAGGCAGATTTTTAGCCACTGCGCCACCAGGGAAGTCCCCTTAGTTCATTCTTTAAATCTGCTTAACAGGAAAAATGAAGGAGAGACATTTGTATGCTTGGTGAGTGATGAAGTCCTTGAAAATGCAGTTCTATAGAGCACTGACAAAACAAACGCATGACAGAGAATATGTGTCCTGGGATAGGACAGAGCTGGCAGGGAACTCAGACCCTGTGGCGGGGCAATCTGCTTACGTAAAAATACCTGATATTCCCTCCCTTGAATATTTGGCTTCCCAAATATGTGACTCCTTCATGGAAGTCTCCACATCATATCCAGAAATTGGCAAAGTCTAAAGATAATCTTGTAACATATCACATTGGAATTAGGAGGCCTGGGTTTGAATCTTAGTGCCGTCACTTACCAGCTTTGTGACCTTGGGTCAGTCACTTAACCTCTCTGAGTTTCATCACTTTATAGGACTGTGGTGAGGACTAAATGGGATTAAATACGAGCAAGTACCTGTCATAGTGTTGGGTCCATGGTAGGCTATCAGTGAAGGTTCATTGAATCTAAATCCTCCACCTCTTGTCAATTTCTTTGGTCCAAAGGACCTTCTTCATTGAGTCCTGTCCTTGGAACACACTGCTTCCATTTTAGAGCTCATTAGAAAACACATAGGCCTAGAACCCCAGGGGAGGTACAAGTGACTCCGAGCCCCAGCAAAGTCTTCACATCCTCTCTCATCTAAATGTCGACATGCAGAGTAGTCCGCCCTGTTGGTCCAGCAGACCACTGCACACAGCCCCTCACACTCAAGCCCACCTCTGTGCTTTACCACACTGAGGCTCCCTCTTCAGCCCAGCTCTTTCCCCTCAGTCTTTTCCAGCTCCTTCCCAGAGGCAACCTCCCCACCCTCGTGAGATGTCTGTACATCCTGGGGCCCAGACTCACCCTGAGGGAGCCCAGCATGTGGGATTGATGCCCTGGTCCTTCCCTGTGAGAGAGGCTGTGGGGAGAAGAGAGAGGGAGAACAGTTGGGAAACAAACCAGATTTCTAAGCAGAGATGATGGGACTTAGGCCCTGGGGCAGCAGTGGGATTGTTGAGACAGTCTAGGGAGGGGGTCAGCAGGACCCCTTGATGAACTAGCTCTGGGTCAGGAGGATGAGAGGGGAGTCTAAATAGACCCACATACCCCCTTGGCCAGGGACACAAGGTCTCTCTCTCCAGGGCTGGCAGTGGTGGATGATTTCCCAGATACTACCTGGGCTCTGCCCTGCAGCTGTTGGCCACATTACCTGGCCTGTTTTTAAATAGCTGCACCGGATTTTTCATTCTTCTTTAACAAGCACCTGAGACCTTCAGCTCGTGCTTGGCTGTGGAAGACGAGGCTCCTCCTGGGGCTGTGCTCCCCACCCTGAGGCTGGCCTACCTTGCCGTGGCTCTAAGGATCACGTCCAGAGGGCCTTTTAGTGCTCACTCTGTGCTCCCGAGCTCGAAGCTAACTACATTCCTGGGGGCAGCAAAGAGGAAATTAAACATCCCTTGTTTTCATCACTTCCCAAAGTGTGATGAGAATGGGATATAGTCACCAGGCCCAGGACTCTCCATTTTGCATTTGCCCCATGAGGCCCACCCAGCATCACTGTGCAGCTCTGGAAGAAGAGAAGTCTGCTCCCTGGGGGATGGGAGAGAATTGTTCAAACTTCTACCTTGCCAACCCTTTGGTGGCAGAGGTGGACACCACCCATCACCGGTAACCCTTGCCTGATATACCCACCTCCCCCCGGCTGTCTGGTCCAGAGGGAGTAGTTTGGAAACTGCACAAATCAAATGAGTCAATTACAAGACTGTGACTTGGAGCAAATCACTGATCATCTCTGAGCCTCAGTGTCTTCATCTGTAAAATAAGGACAATTATACATACCTCATGAGGCTGTCAGTAGGATAAACTAGAATATGCAAGTGCAACCTTTTGGTAAACTGTAAACCCCAAGTAAGAGGACCTTAATAATTGAGAGCTGGTCTGGCTTTCAAAAATGCTTTGTCAAAACCCTTTGGGAAGCCCACGACTTTTTAGGGCATGAGCCACCCACCTCCTTGCAAGGTCGGCAATAAACCTTTTTCTATTCCAAAATAATAATAATAATAAATAATAATAATTGAGTACTTACGCAGAGCCCAGGAAGCATGTCAGCCCATACCCCTTCTGGAGTCTGTCTTAGGCTCCTTGCCTAAGCCTACTTTGTACCCTAAGCTTACCTCTCTAATAGGCACTAACCAACCTGTATTATAATTATTGCTTTGCATATCAATCTCCTACAGTCTACTGACCACTCAGTTTCCTGGCCCACAGCAGGGGGCTCAGTACAAATTTGCTGAAGGAATAGGCTGAGGCCCTGGAAAGCGGGGCGTGAAGGTATGGCCAGATACGGCCACCAGGGGGCAATCAAGTCCTTCCCAAGCAGGTCAACTTAAGTCATTGTGGAGGCCCTTCTCAGAGGAAGAGAGAGAGCTCTTTAAGAATTGCTCTCTTACGGGTAAAGGCCAGGGCCTAGCGCCTGGGCTACGAATTCTCTTTGTGTCTGACATCAGCTCTGTACAAAGACAGGACCATATATCTACCATGGTGTTCAGAGTCCCTGTGTCTGTCCAGAGCCTGAGTGTCCAAGATGACCCTGGAGGAACCAGACTCTGCTGGGGGTGCGGGAACTGATGAGCTCTGCTGACAGGGTCCGAGGGCCAGTATATGCGTTGCGTGCATGCATACATGCTAGTCCCTGAATGATGTGTTTATGAGAGCTCTTGGCCCCTCCGTGGAGATCTGGCCACCCACCTACCCTCATAAGCAGTGTTGCAGAAAAGGACCAGACAGCACCGAGACCTGGGATGTAGGTCTGGTCCACCAACTGACCCACCCTCTGTGTGGCCTGAGCGAGTAGCTTCTCCTCTCTGGGCCTCAGTTTCCTCACCTGAGAAATGACAGCACCAGGCTAGGTGGCTAAGGGCCTTTCTAGCTCTGACCTTCATTCCCTGCGTCTCTGAGGTGAGGGCTGGTTCAAGTTCAAGGGCTCCAGGTAACCTTGAGGATTCTCAGACTGGTTTAGAACCTGAATCCTCAGAGAACCTGGGCCTCTGCTACCTCTGGCTTCCTATCAGGAAAATACCCAGACTCACTTCAGTGGTCACATACTGAATGCTGCCCTGGGCTCAAGAGAGGAAGGCTTTCAAATACCTGTGGGGATGCTGTCACTTGCCTTTCTGTCTGTGGAGGTTTCCCAGGTGGGACACTGGCAGCAGGCAGAGCCTAGGGCCTCAGTCTCTTGGGGCCTCTTCTCTCTGGGACCCCACCCTCGCCCCCTCCTTTCACCTTCAGGCAGAACAGGCCAGACAGATGAGAATCTACCCAAGCACAGGCTGCTGTTGAAATAAAGGCAGAGATGTTTCTTTATAATTTTCCCCTTGAAATAAACCCAGACTTAAGAACAACAGAAACACGCAAAATGTGTTTTTAGTGGAACCCAGATGGAGGGCTGGAAGCCCAGCGGGCTGTCTCCGTTGAGGGTTCTTGCCTCTGGAATTCTATCCTCTCCCCCCATCCCCCCTCAGGAACACCCCCACCCCACCCCCAGCCCTCGTCCTGGGGCTCTCCAGCCTGGGGCCCGCTCCCTCAGGCCATCTCCTTGAGGCTGTTTCCAGGTGGGCAGAGGGCTCCCGCCATCCACCATCACCCTCTGGACAGAAGGCTGAGTCTGGCATCTAGAAAGATCTGTGGTTTTAGAGATTTGGGGGAGGGGAGTGGGGACCAGGACCAACTCAATCCAAACACCTGGATCTGCCGAAATACAACAAAGAGAGTGAGTTAAGACATCTGAAAAAAATACTCTGAGGAATTCCGCTCACCCACATGGCCCACTGCTTCTCATTAACTAGCTCCAGTTCTCCACATTAACATATGCAAATCCAGCCCTGGGCTGGGGGACTGAGGATACAAAGGCAAGTCCTGACAACCCCCTTCCACCCCCAAACTGGTCAAAGAGTCCCCTGTGGGATGAAGAAATCTCACCAGTTCCATGTTGATTTCGCTGGAGCAACAGTCTTGAGAGTTGTAGCCACAGGATGGTCATTCCTTGAGGGGAAACAGATGAGAGGAGTTACAAGGGAAAATTAGGGAAATTGATCCTGTAGAAGCTGCCTCTTTTATGAAGTGGTACTGGTCATTTTTCAACAAATATTCCTGGATGCCCACCATCTCCCATGGACTGTACTGGGCTCTGGGGACATAGATATAAACCTATGTCAGGGGGTGGGAGTGGTCCCTGACCCTCAAAAGTGAAGTTTGGGCGAGAAATACAGACTTCAGAGTTATCCGCGTAGATGTGGTAGATGAGTTTCCTGGGGAGAGGAGTGGAGGACTGAGACCCATTTTGTAGGAAGGGGGGAACTTTGGGCTTCCCAAACCATCCATAATTTCCTGCTTCACTACCTCTTAAGGGCACACCTGGCTACACTCTTCCTCGAGCAACCTTCTTTCTCTTACGGCCCCCTCTTTCCCTGTCTGTTTTTTCTGTAGGGTGATTAGAATTGAATAGAAGTAGTGAGGGTGGCATGAGGACTGGGACAGTGACCCCCTAGTGCCCCAGCTCCTAGCTCCCTACCCAGCGCACCGTGGGCCCTCAGTAGGGAGGCCCTCGGTAGAGTTTGTTGCCTGAATAAAGGAAGGAAGGAAGGAGGAAGCAGGCTAGGGTTCCATTTGTCGGCTGGCTTCAGGCCTGTGCTGGGCCTCACTCCTGCTTTGAAAGGGGAGGGAGCGCAGGAGAATGAACGGGGGCCCTGCCAAGGCCCAGGGCCTGCGGGAAGGCTGGAGCCCTGCCTGAGCTTCGCCTCCCATTTCCAGCCGTGACTCTTGGACCGAGTGAGACCGTGTGCTCTCCCTGGGGACCTTCAGACCTGAGCCCTGCTCCATATGCATTGCGGAGCAGGCCAAGAGTGGAAGGAAGTGCCCAGACAGAGGGAGACAGAGTATTAAAATTCCACCGACAATACCACGGGAGGGAGTTTAGAGTTCCTAACTGACCGTAAGCCCTTTCTCCTGGCAGGTCTTGGAATACATCACTCTGGGCTCTCCCAGAGCAGCTGACACATCGCAGTAACGCTCTTCCAGAGGTCAGGGTCTGCTGATTGCAGCGGGGTCGGGAAGGCACGCTGGGAGCAACTGAAATGGCCCCTGTCTCCTCCGACTTCGGAGACCCAGGGCAGGCGGCCGGCTCGGTGGAGGCCCATCGACAGGCTGTCAAGGGCAGCGCTGTGACTCCCAGCCGAGCCCTGAGCCCAGAAGGTGGTTTGTTAACTGTCGGCCTCTGGGTGGAATTCTGTTCACCTGGTGAATAGAATAGACCTCGTTTTCTGTCAACTGAAAGCTCTGAGTGGCATGTTGCATGTGTGTCTTATTAACAAAAAGGAGAAAATGGAGTCATTATTACTGCATAATTGCAGTTCGTTTGCTAGGTCTAATCTTTCATGCCCAGGTATGGGGGGTGGGGCAGGGGGAGAAAATAAAAGGGGACCTTGATCTGAACCTCTCGGGAACCACCTGTGTAGGTGGCACCTCGGGAAAGACCGAACGGTACCTTAGGAGCCCCAGAGCAGCAAGTGTGGGCAGCAAAATGCACACCTCTTTGCCTACCAGACTGCACCACAGCCCTGGCGCCAGCTCCAGAAATCAGGTGACCGTAAGCAAGGCCCTTCCCTCCTGGAGCTCTGTTTCTTTCTTTTTCTTTTTTTTTTTTTTTTTTCAGGAAATCACTGCTCATATTCCTGCCTTGCTTGTCTCATAAGGTTGTCCTGAGAATTAAATGACAAATGACCTCCATCATGGATTCTTCCCTTCATTCACTCAGTCAACAGTCCTCTGCCCGGGTATGTTTTGGGACAGACACTGTGCTGGGTAATGAGATGCAGAAAGGAATAAAATGCACACGCTGCCTTCAAGGAGCCCACAGTCTAGTGGGGGCCACACAGAGAAGAAGATGAGACGTGGTATAATATGGGGGACCCTAGATGCATGTGGTGCTTTGGAAAGCTAGAGGAAGGGCATGCCACTCGCCTGGTATAGAGAAAGCTTTGGAACAGTGATGCTTACCTGTAAAAAGGCGAGCAGGGAAATTGGAAATATATCACACTATTTCCAAAATGGACATGCTCATGGTGTGTGTGACCTTGAAGGCAGACCTTGATGCTCCAGTCTGAATATAAGGATTGATGTGCATTTTATGACCACGATTGCCCAGGGAGGCTGTAAAAAAAGGAGGACATGGGGTCAAGGGGACTTTTTGCCGGGCTGCTTTACCCCATGTGGAGGACAGCACCCCTAATTGTCTCCTTGAGTCATTTACACGCCCCCCAGGCTGCTACGGATAAAACCCTCTTCTCAGACCAGGACCTCCACATGAGTAGGAGGCCCCAGGTGGGCCGTTAAAATGTGATCTCTTAGGCTTGTCAGAGAGGAGATTAAAAGGGGAGATTGACCAGTTTTAAGATGGCGGACCCCACATGGACACAGGCAGGAAGCCAGGCCAAGTGTATATAAATTGTTTCAGTCCTTAAAGATAAGAGCAGACCTAAGAACAGCGCTAAGGCAGAAGACACCCATACTTAGGAAGGATGCCCGTCCTTATGCTATTGACATTTTCTGTAAGTATTTTCTTTTTGGTCTCCTTTAATAGTAAATAAGGTTAGTTTTTATTTTTATTGAGGTATAATAGACATATAACAATATATTCATTCCAGATGTACAACGTAATGATTCAATATTTGTATACACTGTGAAATGATCACAATAAGTCTAGTTAACATCCGTCACCTCATGGTTACAATTGTTTTTCTTGTGATGAGAA